CTGAACCTTGTTTTTGCAGGAGATTAATGTAGTTTCAGGTGCAGATGCAATTGTTACAGTGTGCCTCCTTGCTGGTCTTCCTTTGGCATTTGTTTCTATTGCTGATGGAAAGAGTTGCAATTGTTTCAGCTGCTGAGTCTCAGTGGCCCCTGCTGTGGTGAGATGGTGAAATTGATCATGCACAAAGCAGTCCATCAAAAGCTCAGGGATTGTCCTACAAGTTGGAGCCTAATCGAATTGAGAGCTAGAGCAGTGGGGTAGAATAGAGTAGCATGGCTTTCTATTCCAAAATCAAATGAACATCCCATTGTGATGTCTTAGCTGTGATTACCTCAGATGGATGGAGACCGTAGAAAGTAATTGAACAGATTAATGCAGTGATAGACATGTCTGTGGCTGTGAATCTTAACTGCACATAGTAGAAGGAGCCAAGGAGAGTCATGATAACTGGACTTGTCATTCTAAATGTTACTTGCATTTGAACACCAGGCCCTGGTAGAAAATGGTCTTTTTGGATGCTAGAGAATAGAAGAAGTGGAGAGTTAACTCAAAGTAGGGGGCTTCCAAGTATTGCTTCCACATGAAACACCTATAAGTTGGTGGGTATAATGTGAAGTATTCTACCTTCTATGAATTTCAGTGTGGAGAGCCTTTAAACACCAACACCTGGTCTTCCACATATCCCATCCTTATTATTATAAGAAATTGATCATGTTGTTGCTTTGCACATCAGTGTAGATTGCAGCATTTTTCAGAAATATCTATGTTAGGGCCTGATCTTGCTTTCCAGTAACAGAGCAATGGATAGGGAATATGTGATGTCTACACATCATGGAACTCATTTCAGCTAAAATGATGAATGCAGTCAAGGTGATTGCAGGAGAATTCATTTAACTTGAGATAATCATATTGTACCGTGTATGCAGTCCCAGACATATATCTCCTGAGGCTGTCTCTATATATCAATCCTAGATTACACACACCTACATGGTTCCATTCATGACATTGGAGGCAATGCTGTGGAGCAGAACAATTGCTAAGATTTGTGTTGAGAGGTAAGGAATGAATAGGTGTAAGTAACTGAGTTTCTGGGCTCAGTATACAATGTAATGTTTTAAGAAAAAACGTGTTCAATGAATAGTACAATGAGAATTAACAGTCACTGAGAAGAATTCCATAAAAGAGCATTTTATTAATTGCTTTAATAAGAAAAATGCTTCCTGAGATTTATTTAATAAGGATTGTTCTATGAGATACTTAATTTGAAAACATAAAGATTAAAATAATAATATCAAGACTGGAATATATCCATCCAAATGCCTTTCTCTTGTTCCTAAGGTGTAAAGTGAAGCACAGTAGTCTCATGGCAGTGTCCAAGTCTGTAGTTAAAGCGAGAGAGAGAGAGAGAGAGAGAGAGAGAGAGAGAGAGAACCAGAGGCCTCCCTAAGCCATTGCTATTCATCATTCTGTTATTCGAAAATTGTCCCTGTGAGGACCATTGCGTACAGAAGGTGGGATATTTCCATGCTGTCTTTCTTAGCATTTTCTATTTGGGTGCCTCTGGATATAACCTTTATTAGAATGGACAAATGGACAACTACCCTACACAGTAGTTGGGGTTTAGATATTTTTAAGAGAGATACATAATGAAACTCTATGGACAGCTTGAATACAATTGTTCAGCAAAATTGTGATGCCCTACTTCTTAGAAGTAGCAAAGCAATAATAACTTTACCACAAAAGCACAAAGTCCCCTACATAGCATAATCCTACCTTATTAGAGGTCACTGCTTCACAGGTATTGTAGCAAGTACAGCCTACAACTGAAACAAAACAGATTGTCAGAAAAAAATTAATCCAAGTTAAGTTCCAGTTGTAAACACATGCAGCTAAGTCTCTTTGGATTTTAGGTATGTATAAAAAATGCACCATGAATTACAAATGGTCTCTTCATCAAGCCTTGCTGGGAAACATGGTTATCCACATGTACAGAAAGAACCTTGATTCCACTTGGCTTGTTGGAGCATTCCTTTAGTCCCAGCACTCTTGAGGCATTGGCTGAGGAGAAGGCAGAGGCAGAGGCAGTTCATTTGTGAGTTCAATGGTAACTTGTTCAGTGCAGCCAGTTCCAGGACATGCTGGGCTATGGAAAAGGTCCCTGTCTCAAGAATCTAAAAGTGAGTTAACAAATAAATGATTTCTGTTTACTATATGTAATCCTGGAAAAAGATAATGCCAAATGTCTCAGAGGCCAAAGTGTAACAAACTCTGATACTATTAGAGCAAAGAATAGCACAAAGATTTGAAGGTTCAGGAGATGCCAGCTTTCTTCTCTCCCTTCTTTCACAGTGAGTGACAGACCATCACAGAATCCAGCATGTGTATGCTGAGGTTGGTTTGAGGCTTTTTAAAGGTATCATGGCTGAGCTCAGGTAGATCCTGCTTCCTCTTGGTGTGACTCTATGACTTCATGGCTTAAGCTCCTTCAGCTTTCTTGGAGTTGATTTCTCTAGTTCTCTTTGTCTGGTCTTGCCCATGAACCCTAGGTCTGCTGGGCCTACAGAGTATGGCTTTCTGAGCTTTACCCTCTATTTGCTTGGCCATGTTGTCAATAGCCCCTTATCTGGCCACAACACTGGTCCAAGCCTCTTTCCATCCACCAGATCCTGACATTGGATTATGCTCAGAGCAGCTCCATAAAGTAGATTAGAACCTTTCTCTTCATTTTTCCTCAAATGGTTTAATGGTGTGCTGATGATCCCTCATCTTTACTGGAACTGATTGCTCCTGATAACTATGGAGTTTGTGGATTTGGTGGCTATGGGAACCTGGAAATGTAGTTTGTAGTTCAGTGAAGGAGTTGAGCAGTTGAGCCGGAAGGTGAACATCTGCCACCAGTGTAGTCATGTCTGCAAGTCTATACTGGAGGCCAACACACTGTTCATGCCCCAGGCTCATCCTGACCAATACTGCTGCTTCCCTTTGTGGCATTGTCAGAAGCAAGCTTCTGCCATAGGCTCCCAGCATCAGTGAAGTGCAGGGATGCTGCATGTTGGGGTGTGCTAAAGGGAGGAGAGATGGGTCTTGATTTCCTTTCATGCACTCATAGGCATACAGAGGCAGTGAAAGATTCTTTGTCATCTCATGCAGGTTGTCATTCTCTGTATGTTCCAGGTATGGAGCTTGTGGCAATGCCAGGAATTCTGAAGGTTGTGGATGGGGGCAGTTAATGACTTGCCACAATCAACAAGAGGTGTCCTCATCTGGGAATCCAGGGTGCAGGAGTTGCAGAGTTCTGTTCAGTAGCTGAGGGAGTGTCTGGCTTGAGGTGTCATTGCCAGAGAAGTCTCCCTTTGCACCACTGAAAAAGAGTCAAGGAAGAAGTCAGTACCTGGTAAGTGGGATGCCCTCTCCTTTCAGTGCACCTCTGCACTTAGGCCCCTACAACAGCTGGATGACATTCTTAGGAACTCTGCTTTAGCTGCAGATATTCAGAAACATCAGCCTGAGTGGAGTTACAGTTGTAAACACATTCAGTTCAATCTCTTCAGGTTTTGGGTAGGTACCAATGCATGTTCGCTTACACATGTCCTCTTCATCCAATCATTCTGGGAAACCTGGATATCCACATAGACAGAAAGAGACTTGATTCCATTTGGCTTGTTGGAGCATTCCTTTAGTCTCAGCACTCTTGAGGCAGGGTCAGTACCAGGGAAATTGCAGAGGCAGAGGCAGAGTCATAGACATAGTTAAAGGTAGTGGCATAGGTAGAGGCAGGATGATGTTTGTGAGTTCAAGGCTCACATGATCAGCATAGTTGGTTCCTGAACATGCAGGGTTATGGAGAGAGAACCTGTCTCAAGAATCTAAAACCAAATTAGCAAATCAATGAGTTATATTTCCTATGTGTTCCCATGTCAAAAGAAATGCCAAATGCCTCTGAGGTCATAGTCTGAGTAACACTAACAGTATTAGGGCCCTGAGTATGCCAAAGTGTTGAAAGTTTAGAGACAGTCCAGGATGGAAATCACCAGCCACATCAGAAATCTGGGACGTATTTGACAAATGGTCTCTGGGGAAAGTAAAGCATTTGTTCCCAGAAAAAAAGAAACAGTTATTTGAGAAGTGGGCCTAGAGAACAGGAGGACATATTTGCTATTGCTACTCCAGTAAAAAGATTAATATTTAGATTATTAAGAATTAGATAAAATACATAAATCATAAGAAAGCAGGCAACCCAGGTAGTAAAGTACAAAGAGAAAGACAGTCCTCTCTATTTCATAAAAAGGAGAGTGAGGACATACAAAAGTTCAGATTGATAAGCAATCAGGGAAATGCATAGTGAACCTCCTAGATGCCATCCAAGGCCAACTATAAAGAAATGACAGCCACCACTGAGAGAGTTCACAGAAAGGAATATTATGCAATTCTGGGGAGGATAGAAAGATTTCCAGCCTGATTGGATGTCAGTGTGGAGAATCCTCCAAAAGCCAAAACCTGGCCCACCACATATATGATATATACCTTTCCAAACAATGAACTCAATATACTAGAAAGGTACTTGCCCATCAGTAGTGACTGCAGCACTGTTTCAAGAGTATATGGGAACCAAGCATGGTGTCCAACAGCATTACCACGGGTGAAGAAAATAGGATGTTCATAGAACGTGAAATCTTTTCAGGGAAAGAAGAAGTTATGTTGTTTGCAGTATGTGGATTCAACTGAGGCTCATGAGATGGCTCAGTGGGTAAGAACACTGGAGTGATTGCAGAGTCCCCAGGCTTGCTTCAGAGAACCTTCTGGTGGCTTTCAATCTCTCTTAATTCCAGACCTCAGAGGTCTGATGGCCTCTTCTGGCCTCTGTGGGCACTCCACACATGTGTTCCACAGGAATTCAGGTGGACAACAAACAAACACACAAACACAAAATAAAGTATTAATGGGTGATTTCAAAGATGGATACAACTGGAATCAAAGAATAAAGAAATGAAACCCTTCTCAGGAAATTGGTCAACCTTGTATATTTTCTCTTTAAAGTGCGTGCTTGATGGTAAATACATGGAATCCTGTATTTCATATAATGAAATTTCAGGAGGAGCTCTGCCCCAGAATAGTAATCATTAAAGGGCTTAAGTGGGTGATTCAAAATGGGAGGAAGTGTGGTAAGAACAGGAGTGTGTTTACTATAACAGTATACACTATAGGGAACATACCAAGTTCAAAAACTAGTATAATGAAAATAAAATTCAAGGAGAAAACTTTTATAACCAGTACAGGTTTTTGCTAATTGCTTTTACCTTAAATAAAAACACTATCAGTGATTTATAGCATATGATGTATTAATGTATCACATATTACTAATTTGTCAACATAAATGAATAATAGCAAAGGTACTAAGAAACCATCAGTCTTCTATATACTTACTCATGGATGATATATCTGACTTTAGCATCTCCAGTCACTTTTGTGTCTTCAAATATTTACAAGTATAGAAACTATTTCTGACCATTTTTATAAATATTCTTGGATCTACACATTAACCTCCTTAACTCCATTAGTTACCTACATATGTACACATTCACCCAAGTCTTTAAGTCCAATGTTTATATGTATATGTGTATCTGTATTTCACCTTGTATGTGTTGAATAGCACTGTGTTCCAAAGTCTAGGCCAGCCCTTACATGACATAGCCATAATATCTAGAAAATTCCATATCCTTCTGCCTCTGAAGGAAGAGCTGCGGTTTTCTCAGAGAGGTGTACTTGGCGGCATTATCTCTCTCCTGTTGAGCCCGCCTCTTCATGGCCTCCTTCTCTGTCCTCTGCTCTTCTGTGATGGGCTTTGAGATGACTGGCCCTGGAATGTGGACTTTCCTCCTTGGAATTGGTTGGCAGTTGAAGTCTTATTGGATTTGAGGTTTGGTAGGTAATGGGTACTTGTTCTTGCCAGCAGAGCAACATTCAAGGAGTTGATAGAGAGGCTGCCATTAAATCCAAGTCATTATTCTCTGTTTGTTCTAAGATTGGAGCAGGAGGCAAGGGCAGGAATTCTGAAGGACTGTCTATGTGGGCAGTTAATGACCAGTCCCCATGGACAGGTGGTGACTTCTGAACATCCTGCATGCAGGAATTGCAGAGGTCTGGACTCTGCAGCAGACAGAGTGTCTGGCCTGCAGCTGTCAATTCCAGGGCCATCTCCATTTTCACCACTGAAAAAGAGTCAAGGAAGAAGTCAGTGCCTGGTAAGTGAGGTGCTCCCCACTTTTCAGTGCTCCTCAGTACTCAGACCCCTACAGCAGTGGGGAAGGCATTCCTGTGAGCTCTGCTTGAGTAGCACAGGCAGCACCTCTGTTGGGAGACTTGTGACCACTCTCTTATTTCTAGTAACCATGTGATATCATGATTTCTCAGATGTTTATGTTTTCCTCGGTGTTTGTGTGTCATGTGCATGCTTAGAGATCATGGGGAGGTGACAGAATTCCCTTGGGGTGTGGTCCTCCCTTTCCTTTCCCTTTATCTTTGAAAGAGTGACCCTCACCCGGTGGTGGTGGCACACTCCTTTAATCCCAGCACTCAGGAGGTAGAGGCAGGCAGATCTCTGTGAGTTTGAGACCAGCCTGGGCTACCAAGTGAGTTCCAGGAAAGGCACAAAGCTACACAGAGAAACCCTGTCTCAAAAAACCAAAAAAAAAAGGAAAAGAAAAAGAAAAAGAAAGAAAGAAAGAAAGAAAGAAAGAAAGAAAGAAAGAAAGAAAGAAAGAAAGAAAGAAAGAAAGAAAGAAAGAAAGAAAGAGTGACCCTCATTTCTGTGGATGTTTGCTATCAGGTAGGTTGTCTGGTCCATAATTTTCAAGAACTTGCTCGTGTCTTCCAACTCTTGGCATTACTCAAATTCCCCCTCTTGCCTGACTTTCTAAATTGGTTCAGGTGTCCAAACCCAGTTCCTCACTCCTGCAAGGCAATCTTTTCAACAACCCTGAATTTCCTTTACCTCCACATTTCACAGTCTTGTTATTAGTGATGTGAAAATTGATTTAAGAAGGTGAAATGTTTAGCTTGGGTTATCTTTGTAGTTTAGAACATATCCTAGTGATCATGAATTTCCTTGGCTCACCTCTAAATAACATTCAAAAGAGAAGACAGAGAGAGGGAGATGGAGAGGGAGAGGGGGGAGGGAGGGAGAGAGAAAGAGAGAGAGAGAGAGAGAGAGAGAGAGAGAGAGAGAGAGAGGATGCATGGTGAATGGTAGAGGGAGAAGAGAGAGAAAATATTTGCCCAACTTAGCAATTGTACACTGGAGACAGAGAGAAACAGAGATTGTGAAGTGAGACAAGAGAGAGAGAGAGAGAGAACCTTTGCCCACCTTAGCAGATGTACACTGGTACACTGGGTATATTGGACTCTCAATGCACTTATGCTTGTAAGAGAACAGCAGGTCCAGCTCTTGGAATGTGCAAGTAATACTTCTTCTAGGATAGATTTGGAGTTGCATTGCTCTAGAGTCAGAATTCATGTGAGAGAAAATAAAGTGTTACCAAACAGAAAGGCCTTGGTGTCCTCTACAGCCCCAAGGAATAGGTTAGGAAGGAGGCGATTGCTGTGTAATGGTGCATGGGACTGATTAGCTAGGTCAGTGACATGTGTGTCTGTGGTGGTGTCCTTGCTTCTTGCTAACTGTTCTTATATCTTAAATTAACCCATTTCTATAAATCTATACCTTGCCACGTGGCTGGTGGCTTACCGGTGTCTTTACATGCTGCTTCTCCTGGCGGTGGCTGCAGTGTCTCCCCCGTCAGCCTTCCGTTTCCCAGAATTCTTCTCTCTCCTTGTCCCACCTACTTCCTGCCTGGCAACCTACTTTTTGCCTGGTCACTGGCCATCAGTGTTTTATTTATATAGAGTAATATCCACAGCACTTCCCCTTTTTTTTCTTTTTTTAAAAAGGAAGGTTTTAACTTTAACATGGTAAAATTACATATAACAAAACAATTACTGAGCAAGAATTATAGTTACAATATTAAAGAAGATGTCCTATCTATCTTATATTTGTGAGTTTAAGGTTTTATATCT